CCTGGCCATTTTTTGGTTGCAGCCATCATTGTTGTTTGGCAGGCCCGGGCTGGGGATTCGAACCCTCCACCCTAGGTGTATGTGGCTGGCGCCCCAGCCGCTTGAGCCACAGGCACCGAGCCAAATCCTGTTCTTAATCATACTGGAAGATATCTTCAGAAAGCTGTGGTGTGATAAAAAAGGAGGTGGGGAACAGATTCTCAGACCACCAATTTTTGAGGAGTACTCCTTACTCATGCCCCATTGATCCACACCCACATTATCTACCAGGGTTGGGGATGAATGAGGACAGGTTGAGTCTCAACCTTTCCACATACCGTTTCTGTTGCTGAAGAGTATTGTTACAGGCAGATTCTTGCTGTGCCAATGCTCCCTGAAGGGTGGACATGATCCGCCCATGCCTTAAGGGCTGTACGTTTTCTTTACTCAGCTCCCATTCATCTCCCTCCAGGGACATGGCTTCACTGTGAAGAGAGAAACAAAAAGTAAATCTCATACCAACATCGACTTCTTATAGCACTAGATTATTGTAAATGTTCTCAGATATGTGATTATCGATGTTTTGGGGTTGAATATAGTAGACTGACCCATTAATAAATAGTAGAAGTTTCTGAGCCTTTCTGTAACGTGGTTCCTAAGTTTATGGCTACAATATTGCCTAATAGAAGAGAGAACTTGGCAGTTATATTGTGGCCAGTGCTATAAAAATAAAGTTTAAGGCAGAAAGAAAATAAAAGGGGAAAGTGTTATAAATTTGGTAAAGCAGACAAAAGCAGGAAGTAGTTCTGCTTAGTTTAATCTAAAATTAATAAGTAATTATTAATAAAATGAATAATAAGTATTCACTTAATACCATGCATAGCTTCTTGGAAACTGCAACTTAAATTAAAACAACATAATAATGAAACTAATTCTACAATTGGCTCACGATATAAACATGAATTAAGTTCTTACAACATATTTCTGGTTACAAAAATATCTCCAAACTTCTTTTTTTTTTTTTTGAGATGGAGCCTCAAGCTGTCCCCCTGGGTAGAGTGCTGTGGCATCACTCACAGCAATCTCCAACTCCTGCCTCCCAAGTAGCTGGGACCACAGTGCCACAATGCCTGGCTATTTTTTTTTTTTTTT